AAAGTTTTGCATCGTCTCATTACCTGGAATGGGGACTTCAATTCGGGAGGCGCCCTCGTAAATAAGAACTGGATGATGGTACTGTAGGGAATGATGTCTCCCACCGCTGGGCTGCTGGAAATATGCTCGCTGGTCTGGAAGAGCATGGGTCTGTTGGAGGAGGAGGAGGCACGATGGTGAAAAGGTCAGAACGTTAAGAGCAGGGGTCTTCAAACTTGGCCCTTTGATGACTTGTGGACTTCAACTCCCAGAATTCCTGAGCCAGCATGGCTCAGCTTGGAAACCTTTCCCTTTCCCCTCAGCGTGGCTGGCTCAGGAATTCTGGGAGTTGAAGTCCACGAGTCATAAAAGAGCCAAGGTTGCCTACCCCTGGCTTAACTAATTCTGCTCATGGAGATTCGAGGGAAACGATCCCTTTTTGACCGCAATTGAGCCCCGCTTTTCTGCTGTTAAGCGAGACCGTTGTTAAGTGGGTTTTGCCATTTTACAACTTTTCTGGCTCAGCATTGTTAAGTGAATCACTGCCACTATTAAGTTAGTCACACAGTTGTTCAGTGAATCCAGCTCCCCCGTTGACTTTGCATGCCAGAAAGTCACAAAAGGGGATCGTGTGACCCCGGGACACTGCAACCGTTGTAAGTACATGCCAGTTGCCGAGCCTCTGAATTTTGATCAAGTGACCGTGGGGGACGCTGCAATGATCGTTAAGGGTGAAAAACGGTCATAAGTCACCTTTTTCCAGCGCCGTTGTCAAAGCGTCACTAAATGAACGATCGTTAAGTCGAGAACTACCTCTATTCCTGAATACCTTCTATCCCAGGGGTAGGCAACCTTGGCTCTTTTATGACTCGTGGACTTCAACTCACAGAATTCCTGAGCCAGCATGGCTCAGCTTGGAAACCTCTCCCTTTCCCCTCAGCATGGCTGGCTGAGAATTCTGGGAGTTGAAGTCCACGAGTCATAAAAGAGCCAAGGTTCCCCACCCCTGCCCTATATCAGGGCTCCTCAATCTTGGCAACTTTAAGACTCGTGGACTTCAACTCCCAGAATTCCTGAGCCAGCATGGCTGAGCTTGGAAACCTCTCCCTTTCCCCTCAGTGTGGCTGGCTCAGGAATTCTGGGAGTTGAAGTCCACAAGTCATAAAAGGGTCAAGGTTCCCCACCCCTGCCCTATATCAGGGGTCTTCAAACTTGGCCCTTTGATGACTTGTGGACTTCAACTCCCAGAATTCCTCAGCCAGCGTGCAAAATAAACAGAAGATTTAGTAATGGCTTCTCACAGGAGGGGAAACCTAATCTGCTACTTCATCTGTCAATGACACCAGAGATCCTGTCTCTTTAAGAACAGGCCAATCTATATAAACTCTAAAATAGTAAATACTCAAGTACGGGTAGGTGCTGCGCAGTCTCAATTTTTACTCCCACTTTGGAAACATTTATTGAAGGAAGAAAAAAAAAAAAGCTTGGCATAGGGCTAGTTTACCTTCTCTAGAGGCCAGTCACTGAATTCTTTACTTTGTTAAAAAAAAAAAAAAATTCTACTGAAATACTGACATTTTACGTCAATTAAAACAAATTGCCCTGAAATGCTGACAATAAAGAATTACAGAGTTCAAAGGAAACTTGGAGACTTATAGTCTAACCCAGGGGTCTTCAAACTTGGCCCTTTGATGACTTGTGGACTTCAATTCCCAGAATTCCTCAGCCAGCCTCCATTTTGTTTGTTAGATTTAAGACAGGGGTCTTCAAACTTGGCCCTTTGATGACTTGTGGACTTCAACTCCCAGAATTCCTCAGCCAGCGTGCTCTCTTTCTCTGTGTGTGTGTTTTATACTCTTTCTCTCTGTGTGTGTTTTATACTCTTTCTCTTTGTGTTTTATACTCTTTCTCTCTGTGTGTGTTTTATACTCTTTCTCTCTCTGTGTGTTTTATACTCTTTCTCTCTGTGTGTGTTTTATACTCTTTCTCTTTGTGTTTTATACTCTTTCTCTCTGTGTGTGTTTTATACTCTTTCTCTCTGTGTGTTTTATACTCTTTCTCTCTCTGTGTGTTTTATACTCTTTCTCTCTCTGTGTGTTTTATACTCTTTCTCTCTGTGTGTGTTTT